AGGACTAGGCTGAGGCAGTGAGGTGCCTGGAGTACAGAATTTAAGGAGATGCTCACTCTCAGAGTCGTGCAAGCACCTTAAGTTTTACACCCTAGGCGCCTCATTTGCCTCGCCCTCAACCCGGCCCTGAGGAGCCCCTGGGTGGTGCAAATGGTTAACGAACTTGGCTGCTAACCAAAAGGCTGGAGGTTCGAGTCTACCCAGAGGCACGTCGGAAGAAAGGTTTGGTGATCCACTTCCAAAAAATCATCTACTAAAAACCCTATGGAGCAGAGTTCTACCCTGACACACATGGGGTTGCCATGAGTCTGAGTTGACTCACAGGCAACTGGTAGTCCTGGCCCTGAAAAACACACACCATCCACTTAGAAAACCAAACCCAAACCCGTTGCCGGCAAGTCGATTCCAATTCATAGAGATCCTATAGGACAGAGTAGAACTGCCCCATGGGGTTTCCGGGGAGGTGCTGGTGGATTTGAACTGCCAACCTTTTGGTTAGCAGCTCAGTTCTTAACCACTGAGCCACCACTTAGATAAAGGACACTCATATTTTTAGAAAGGGTGAGTCAGAGCTCAAACACAGAATAAAGGTGATAATTTTAATTCCAAACATACCCCTTTACTACAGAGAAAAATGACCAGGCCATAGTCCATCCAAAACGCTTCACATAATATCCCTAAATTTCTGACAAAGAACGCAGTTACCCAGTTGCTCTCTGGAGGCTGACAGTGCCAGCTGAACATTGCTATAGGCTTTTGCTTTTTAATAAGGCCAGTACATAATGATACCATTTATTATCCTGCTATAGAAAATGTAATGTTTTTAAGGGGGGTGGGGAGGAACAGGGAATATTTTCTATATATTTGAAGAATACACAAACACCTCTAAAATCACAGAATGTATTAGAACTGAAAGCATCAGGGGGTAAAAAAAAACACGATAATAAGCTTCAATTTAATAGACCGTTTAAATTCCCAGTTGATGGTAATTAGAGAGCAAGCAGTATTTCTTTAAACACTGCTAGACATAACCTAAACCAATTTAGGTAATCACTAACCTTTGCTTTCTCTCTCTCTCCCCCAAATGAAATGTGGAAATCCAAGGATTGATCTACAAAGGCCATAAACTGGCAAAGCATAAGAAAAGAATATTTAAAAAGAGAGATTGGGTGACATTACCTCAAAGGGCCAAGTCCAATTAAATTGGAAACAGGTCTCACAGCTCCCTAATTTATACCGACAATAACCGGAGACTCTAACCAGGCACGTTTATGGCAGAAGGCATTCAGAGGGAGGCGGATGTACTTACTCTCCCTCTTCTCCCCTCTGGGAATCTCTTCTGGAATGTCAATCGACAGGTCTGGCTCTGCAGTCTGACAGCCATCACATCCTAGGCAATGCTAGTAATTCTCTACAGTCAAAATATCTACAGGGCCTGGCTCTCTCCTTCCAGGGAATAACTACTGTCAGAATTATCCAGACTGTCCCTTCGGTCTCCAATGTTCACCCACCTCCTGCCCCTTCATTTTAGAGCCCCCACACTGCTCTGATATCAACTTCTGATCCAGAAACTTCCATGTAAACTGCTACGACCTTCTTGAATACTTGTGACTCTGGATTCTTCATGGAAGGCCTCCAAGGGTAGGAATCAAAAGGTACTGCAAAGAACAAGCGACTTAAGTTAATGGCTTTTTGACATTGGGAAACCCTTTCTGAACCTCTGTTCTCTCTTCTTAAAATAGAGAAAATAATATCTACCCTCCCAGGTTGCTGGGAGGCTCAAATAACACTGTCATAACCACCCTTGGCTCATGGTAGTTGTCCAATAAATAAGTTGGCTCGATTGGTTTAACTATACTAGTTTCAGAATAAACCTTGGGCCTCCAACCCCTGACGAAAATGTGAATTAATTCAATTTTGCCTCTGATGCCCTATCATTGTCTTATGTCATCTAGCCATCCTCCCTCTTTTCTCGGCCCCACTGCGGCCCCTTCCCTTATAAAACAGTGCCTTCTGTTTATCAGGGTACCACTCTCTGTGTTCCCAAATTCCAAACCTACCCTGTACAAAATCCATAAAATACTTTATCTCCAAATTTCAACAACTGAGATATTAACTCACACTGACTTGTTAACAACTGATCATTACTATAAGCACTGCCTTTAATAACCTTTTAGAGAGGTAACTCTAGGGAACAAACTTTTAATGACAAGTACTAGACACTGTAAGGATCTTTTAGGGAGGTTCACACTCTTATTTCTCAAGTCAACCAGTTCTGTATTGGCCTAACTCTGCAAAAAGGATGAAAAGGAAAAAGCCTGCAACTCAAGAAAGATGTCAGCATGTTTTCCCTTGTACAAGGGCAGTACAAAAAGAATGACCACAGGGAAATACGTAAACTTACAAATCACTAGGATAAAGACATCTGAAAAAATTTTAAAAAATCCACAAAGTCCTTCTTGGATTCAATTTTCTACAGATAAATGGCTTAAATGTTGCACATACATTAAGTTGATGAAAGAATTACGACATTTAGGTCTGGACTACCAGGCTTAGATTTTCAGGTAATGTAACATCTTTCTAAAGACAAGATTAGGATTTTATTCAATAACTGAGTCACTTTGTGACATTTAAAAAAAAAAAAGCCACCAAGTGAATCAAATACAGGATGATCTAGTCAACAACTGGAGAATTGAAGGGAAAGACAGCACCAGTACAGGCTGACCCTAGGAGCCTGGAATCACAGATCTGAAATCCATTCTCGGCTCCATCACAGTGTATGTGGCCTTGAACCTCAGTGGGCTCACCTATAAAATGGAGATACAATAGTATCTACCTCATGATTGTTTTAAAGAAGATTATATAATATCAAAATCTCTCAGCACAAAGTCTAAAATATAACAAAACCTCAAGAGATGTTTGACCCGTTTTTAAATAAGGGAAACATTCTTTTAATATTGAAACACATTACATTATTGAAATAAATATACATCTATGGGTCTCTGGATGTGAAAAGATTTGAGGTCCCACTCTTGAGAATAACACCACTTGGACTAGCTTATTTCTAGTGCCTTTCTTCTTTACACTATTACTGGCTCTAGCTGTTAGAAGATGCAGTAAAATACTGAAAGGACAAAGGTAAGGAATGAAAACTGAACACAACTTTGTGGATTGACCAAGCATTGCTTCCCTTATCTGCCAAGCTACATTCCACAGCTGGTCAGTTCCTCTGACCAGCACCCTTGATCAGATTCCAGGGCTCAACGCTGCAACCAAAGAAGACCAACCAGCCAGCTTCTACAGAGATGACAAGTGCACCTTTCTCAGTCGTGGTGGGAACCTCACCAGGGGCTAAATTTAAAATGTGCCTAAATTAGTCTCTGCAAGCTCCATTTCCCCTCCTGAGCAGCTTGCTGCTTCACTTAGTCAATATCAGCGCCTACCACCCTGAAAGCAATTTACCAGAATAGGGCTGTAACGTTCTGCAGCATGTGGGGCAATGAAAGATCACGACTGCAACCCACGGTGGTCAGGATCACAAAGGGAGGCCAAAATGAGCAACGTCCCTTGGTGTGGGGGTGGAGGCAATTAGGACCTTTGGTGTCCCTGGTCTGCCTTGGTCCTTTGCAGGGGTCACATACAACTCATCTGGGGTCATCTAAATTTGCACCTATCGTCTAGGCTAAAAGGTGCAGAACTCTGCCCAAGCAGGGCTGCCCGGAGAACCCAACCCAGAGCTTTCTCCCTGCGGGTCTCCAGGGGCAGATGTGCCGCTGAGCCACCGCGCGTGAACCTCCCGTCTTGTGGGGCACATGGGAATACTGTAATTGAAACCTTGCACACCGCAGGATTGCAGTGGCGTCTATAAATATTCTCTGCCTTACTGCTGACAAACAAAACGCGGGCTCCTGGCACTGCAGGGAAGAGGCGGCGGCATGTGACCGACGGCAGGGGTTGGGAGAAAAGGGGGAAAACCCTACTGCCAACCAGGGAGGAACCCTGAGGACGGTTCCTGAAGCACAATTCGCACGTACACAGCCTCGTCTGGCTCGCCGGGGCCGCCTGCAGGGAAGAGTAGAGGACTGGGAAGGGAGGGTCCGAGCGCCGGGGCGCGGGCTCCAGAGCGCTCCCTGCACGCAGTGAGGCCGCCGCACGCGCACAGTAGGCGCGCTTGGGAAAGCCTTGCCAAATGGAGCGCGGGCGCGAAAGTTGAAACGGAAAGGGGATGCCGCCCGCGCAGAGGCAGGCGCAGAGGCAGCCGCAGGGCCGCTCCAGGGCTTCCTCGCCGCCAGCCCTGAGGAGGTCCCCAGCGGACTGCGCCCCGGCCGGCCCTAGTACGCGGAGCGCATAAGTTCAGCCGCGCGCAGGACAAAGCGGCCACCTTCCCTGCCCTCCCTTTCCTCCCGAAAAAGGGGGACTGCAGGAAAAGACCGGCTGTTTCGGGGCACCGAATCGCCCGCGCCCAAGCAGGGAAGCTCTTAAGATTTGCTCCTTGAGCCGGGGGAGAACGAAAGAGACAAACATGCACACTTTCTTTTTCGATCTCCTGGCCCAGCCTGGGTCCCACGACCGGCGGCATCCAGTATTCCACCCCACAGCAGTCCCTCGCCCACCCTAAACGGCAGACGGAGGCGCGACCTCCTTTGCAACCCCCTCCTTCCCATGGTGGTCACGCGTCCAGTCCCCTACGCCTGCCTGCAGCGTCCCATCGGAGGATCCTTAGCCATGAGGGAGTCCCACGCCCGGCTGCCCCCAAGCGTAACCCTTTCCCCCACTGGTAGCTGCTGTCGACACAAGCACCAGTTTGCCAGGCGACTTCGTTCTCAATCTTGTGCCATTTCTAAGCCTACAACTCAGGCCCCTCCTGGGGACTTCCCCACTCACCCCCTTGGGGTCCCCGGGGTGAGTCACCTCGAGTCGCGCACACCCGCAACTCGCCTCCACCCCGGACTCCGCGCGCCAGGAAAAAGTTTCCAGTCCTCCCGAGAAAGTTTTCTCACCGGAGACAAACAAGCGATCTGGAAGGTTTGCGCCACCGCGCTCCGTCTGCCCAGCACGCCCTCCCAGTCGCCGCGGGGTCTGGTCCAGCCTCAGTTCCTCTCGCGCGGCAGTCAACAAACTCCGCGGCCGCGGAGATACCAGAGCCGGCCTTGTGACACGTTTTCCTCCGCTCTTGTCTCACGACCTCCTCCTCCCCGTCCTCCTCCCACTTTTCCTGTCTTGGGCACATCGTTTTATTTTCCCTCCAGCGGCCCCCACGCCATCCCACTCCTCCTCCTCCGGTACAGCAACTCTCGCCGGGCAAGGGTTGAGCCGGGGTGGGGAGGGATGCGGGGGAGGGAACTCCTGCGCTTACATGCAGTTCAACAATTTCAGGAAATCCAAGCTGTTTGACTGAAAAAGCCAGGGAGGATGCCACGGGTCAGGGGAGCTCCGTGCTGCTTTTCGCTCACACAAGATGAGATCCCCTCCTCCACCCCCGACAGGAAAAACTGCCAAAAAGCCAAGGGGTGATTCTGGGGCGCACTTCAGAAAAAGCAGGGTCTGGTTGATAGGACTAGTGACTGCACTTTTTTTTTTAATGAAAAGTTCCCGGGCTGCGTTATGTGCATCAGTGACATGCACTTACGCGCATTAATGAAATAAAACTCAAGTGAAGTCTCTTTTTATATTTGCAAAACTTTGAAAGTTCCCCAATTCTCTTTCCAGCTGAAGATTCAGTGCATCAGAAGGTCTTTCACAGTATGAAATAACAGAAAACTAACCAATCCAAAAATAAAAAAATGTACAATTATTTTCAAAACATTTTTTTGGTTGCAGGTGTTAAGAATGTGATGCAGCTGTGTGCAGGACTTACCCGCTTGCATAATTTCACCCTATGGTTGAGCAGGAAATACTTCAAAAATGTTGTCCGTTCGCACATCACACTTAGGCTTTGAAACCACAGTGACATTTGCTGAAGAAAAGATGCCTGTGTCTTTAATGTCAAAACTGATTATGTTTGTTTTGATCACTGTGGTCTTACAAACATGTGTGAGGATTGCTGGTCAGGCTGTGTCCAGATGATATGTTCAAGTTCTGGGTGCCCCACTTGTCAAGTGGGATTCTCAACAGAAACACCAGGATGATGTTATTTGTTATTAGTTGCCATAGAGTTGGCTCCAACTTGTGGTGACCCCACGTAAAACTGAACGAAACATTGCTTAGTCCTGAGCCACCTTCATGATCATTGGTATACCAGAGCCCATTACTGTGTTGTGTATTTTGAGTGTCTTCCAACATTAAGAGGCTTATCTTGCAGCACTGTATCAGATAATATTCTGTTGTGATTCACAGGATTTTCATGAGCTAATTTATTATTCAAATTTACAAATCAACCACTGGGGCAAAGATGAAGAAACTGAAGATTTTTACCAACTTCTGCAGTCTGAAATTGATCAAATATGCAATCAAGATGCATTCATAATTACTTGTGATTGGAAAGTGAAGGTTGGGAGCAAAGAAAGTGTGATGGTTAAGATTGTGTGTCAACTTGGCTGGGCCATGATTGTCAGTGTTTTAATGTAATCACTCCCATGATTGAATATACTGTGAGTAGCCAATCAGACGAAAGGGAGTCTCCTTGGAGATGTGGCCTGCGTCTGTACATAAGCAGATGTTCTGGCTTTTTGCTCTCTCTGGATCCTGTCGCTGCTTCCTGTCGTCTCATCTCCCGTTCTTGGGACTTGAGCTGTCAGCTTATCTGCCGAACCTGGGAATCGTCGATCTGCACAGCCTGTGAGTGGGAGCCCTGCTCTCCGACCTGCCGATCTTGGGCTTGCCAGCTTCTGCAGCTGTGTGACTTGGGAGAGGCCTCTACCCTGATCCATGGACTTGGGACGTTCTAGCCTCTACAATCACGTGAGCTGTTTCCTTGATATAATCTATATATATATATTTATACACTTTACTGGTTTTGCTTCTCTAGAGAACCCAGCCTAAGACAGAAAGACTGATAGTGGGACAATATAGCCTTGGTGATAGAAACGATGCCAGAGATCGCATGATAGAATTTGTAAGACCAATGACTTCTGCATTGCAAATACCTTTTTTCGACAACATAAACAGCGACTATATACGTGGACCTCGACAGATGGAATACACAGGAATCAAATCGACTACACCTGTGGAAACTGATGACAGAAAAGCTCAATAGCATCAGTCAGAACAAGGCCAGGGGCCGACTGCAGAACAGACCATCAATGCTCATAGGCAAGTTCAAGTTGAAGTTGAAGAAAATTAGAACAAGTCCACAAGAGCCAAAGTATGACCTTGAGTATATCCCACCTGAATTTAGACACCATCTTAAGAATAGATTTGACACACTGAACACTACTGAGGACCAGATGAGTTGTGGAATGACCTGAAGGACATCATACATGAGGAAAGCAAAAGATCATTAAAAAGACAGGAAAGAAAGAAAAGACCAAAATGGATGTTGGAAGAGAGTCTGAAAGTTGCTCTTGAATGTAGAGTAGCTAAAGTGAAATGAAGCAATGATGACGTAAAAGAGCTGAACAGAAAATTTCAAAGGGCATCTCAAGAAGACAAAGTAAAGTATTACAATGAAATGTGCAGGAGGCAGAGCCAACATGGCACTATAGACAGAAGCACCATGCCGTCCCTCTGCAGCAAAGGCCCAAAAGACTAAGTAAAATGGATACAAAGGTCAATCCTGGAACCCTAAGCACCAAATGAAGGAATAAAGAACTCGATCAAGCACTGAATGGACTAAGAAACTGACGGAGAACAGAGAATGAGGAGAGCTATGGAGTGGAGGTCCCCTACCAGCTAACGTGGTCAGATTTGCCATCTTGGACCTCAGCCACCAAAGACCACAGACAGGAAGTGTGGGAAGGCAACTCCAAGCAGCTGCCAGCAGGAGACAGAGCACCCGGGAACCAGGGATACACGCTTTCCCACCCACCACTCTTCTTCCCTCTACTTGGCCTCTGCAGCTTTCCAATGGGCCAAGGTTGCTTGACCAGAAAGACACCAGCTCACTGCCCACGGGGTCCGCCTCTCCCCACTGGCCAGCCAGCCAAGTTATCCCCATGTGCCATCCCTTCCCCTTCTTGACGGGCTGTGATTTTTTGGTTTGTTTGCTTTGTTTTTTTTTCTTTTTCTTTTTCTGTTTCTTCTCTCTCTCTTTTCCTTCCTTTCCTTTCTCCTGCCCACCCAGCCCTGTGCACTTCCCCTACCCCTTCTGGAGGGGCTGTACTGCACAGCTTGACTGGAGAGACACTGTGTGCAGCCTCCCTGGGTCTGCGCTGCCATCACTGACTGGCTCCCTCAGTGCCATTTTATTTACTTTGTGTTTGTTAGTTAGTTTTGTGTTTGTTTCTTCTGTCTCTCTCCCTTCCTTCCTTTGCTTTCTCCCATCCACCCAGCCCTGTGCATTGCCCCACCCCCCGCCACCATCTTGGTGGGCTGTGGTGTACCACTCAGCTGGAGAGCCTAAAGGCACATGGCCTCCCCAGGTCTGAGCTGCCCTGCAGGCTGGCTCCCTCGGCGCCATATTTTTTATTTTTCTTTACCTTTCCCCTTCTCCTTTTGCTTCTCCCTCCCACCTAGGCTCTGCGCTTCCAACACCCCTTCCTGATGGGCTGTGCCATGCCACTTGGTGAGAGAGATGTCACCTCGCCACCACCCCAATTCTGCCCTGTCCCCAATGGCCACCTCCCCCACCACATTTTTTGTTGTTGTTGTTTGTATTTCTTTTTTATTTGTGTGTTTGACTGTTGGTTTCTTCTCTCTCTTTCCCCTTTTCCTCTCCTTTCTCCAGTCCACTCAGCCCAGTACACCACCCACACCCCTTCTCAACAGGCTTAGCCACACTGCTCAGCTAGAAAGCTACCACCACACTGCCCTGCCAGGTCTGCCCTGTTCCCTCCTGCCAAATCCTACTGCACCACCATTTTATTTATTTTTATTTTACTTCATTTTTTGCTTTTGTTTCTCTCTCTTCTTTCTCTTCTTCCACCCACCCACTTAGCTCTGCACATCACATCCTCTCCTTTCCCTCCTGCCTATCTACACTGTGTGCCAAGTGCCACACCCCTGAGTGGTACCAAAGTGGTCCCCCGGACTTTTCCCTGCACTGCCCCCCAACCCTGCCCTGTAGCTCCCAGTTTGTGCTGCAAACCACCCATCTCCACCCTCCACCCCCGCTGGACCCGCCCTACTGCACCGTAGCTGAGTGACCGGCCTGGCCCACCTGGACATGGTGGTGAGAAGTATCATGCCCACAGGCAAGCAAGCAACAAAACAACCCAGCCCAGACATAGGCAAATAAGACAAAAAAGCAGGATGAAACAATAAAATCTACAATCAATAAACGAAGAAAACAATTCCCAAATGTTCCAGAGGGAGCAGACAATATCAAAACATATAAAAAACAGAGGAGGATGGCTCCAGAAAGAGACCAAAATAAAATATCAGAAGACCTTCTGCTAGAAGGAAAGGCACTGGAGCTACCTGACAGGGAATTCAAAACTCTAATATTCAGGGTTCTCCAACAGATGAAGGAAAATGCAGACAAAAATAAAGAAAAAATACACAAAATCATGGAAAATACAGACAAAACAATGGAATAATTCAGGAAAATAATACAGGAACAAAATGTTAAAATAAACAACTAGGAACTATACAAAAACAGCGATTAGAAATTCAACTGATAAATAGTGCAATAGAAGGTTTTAGGAGCAAATTTGAAACAATGGAAGACAGGATCAGTGAAATTGAAGACAAATCCTTGGATACCACTTTGAGGAAAAATCAGAGAAAAGAATGAAGAAAAATGAAGAAATCCTGAGAACTATGTGGGATACAATCAAAAGCAAAACTTTGCAGATGATGGGAATAACAGAACGGGGGGAAAAAGGGAAAACACAGAGAGGATGATTGAAGATTTGCTGACAGAAAACTTCTTTAATATCGTGAAAGACGAAAAGCCAACCATCCAAGAAGCTCTACGAACCCCATATAGGACAGAACCAAAAAGAAAAATACCAAGGCATATCATAATCACACTCTTTTAGAAAGACAAAGAAAGAATTCTGAGAGAAGCTCAACAAAAAAGAAAATTCACAAACAAAGGGGAAACAATAAGACTAAACTCTGATTACTCGGAAGACACCATGCAGGCAAGAAGGCAATGGGATGACATATGTAAAATTTTGAAAGAAAAAAATTGCCCATCAAGAATAATATGTCCTGCAAAACCCTCACTTAAATATGGTGGTGAAATTAAGACATTTCCAGATAAACAGAA